AGGAGAACGGCGCAGGAAACTGCTTGGCCTGGGCAATGGACATTGTCGTCGTGTGTTTCATCCTCGCAGCGTGTCTAGTTGCACTGGGTTTCGCAATGATGCCGCAGGAGTGCATTTTGGGCCAGGAGCCAGCCGCGGGGCTTTTCGAGGCCCTCAGGCGGGATGACGATCAGGAGGAGCCCGTGCTGCCTTTCAGCGACGGCGCTCGGATGCTCATAGCACTTGCACTGCCGGTGCTCTCGGGCGGCGCGATTAGCATCAAGCATTCGCTGGTCTCTGCACTCCTGTGCGGCCTGTGACATCCCACCTGGCGAGTGCCTCGAGCTGGAGACGCAGCTGGGCAGCGTTTTCTATCCTTGGGCAATTCGGGGGGAGGTCTAGGCACGCTAGAAATCTCGCCCAATCCGGGCTCCACTGAATTCCGCTGGTGAGGATGCAACCGTACGAGTTCCGGCATGTTCGTGGTGGTTCATGGCACGCTGGGTTTGCTTTGGCAGGCCGACGGTCTTCTCGACCACTGCATGTTCATCCACTGTGCACGCGTCTTTTCGACAGGAGAGGGCATGAGGAGCGGGACCCCCAGCAAGCCTCGGGCCACAACCCCCTGCGGGCCGGGCGCGGCAGTGGGCGGCAGTCCGCGACACCGTTGATTGAGATGAGCCCGCGCGCGCTGGAGCCGCAGTGGGCGCAGAACTGTGCAACATGCGCAAGTTGTTCCGCCAACAGGGGCCCCTGTCCTCGATGGCGGCTTGGCAGTTTCTCTCCCGACGTGCCACCTCAGGAGTACAAACTTTCCAGCCACTCTGGGACAGGCGCTCCCGATGGCAGAGCGGCTCATTTCATACCGGAATGCGTGCGCTAAGAGTTTCTCTGAATTCCTCCCAGTTGTGCGCCCACAGCGTTGAGGCTAAGGATGTATGGCGTCTACCTTGTCGCGATGTTCTTCTCCCGTGGCGCTGTAATTCATTTTCTGGGAGCGCAGGGGAGGGCATCTCGGGTGCACCCCACAACAGCCCCAGCATTGAGGGTCATGCAAACAGTCTGCCTTCTTCCTCCTCGGAGTAACCTTGCCTCGAAAGACAGCAGCGCTGCCATCTTATAAACTATAGTAGATCTGTGCATGCAGTGAGAGCGAAGGGTAGGTGTCTCGTCATCCCCATCCTTAATTGGCACTAGGCCGAAATCTTCTCGCCTGGGGTTTTCCGCATTGGATCACGCTGTTCTCGCAGTTCGATTTTGCAGGAGGTGTCCGCTCTCATCTGCAGTAGCAGACTCCTTCTGAAGTGGCACTCGTCTGTCAATGCAGTCTGATTTTCCAGCCGACGAGCAAATGTGATCCCTGGGCGTGTTTGTTTGCGCGCGCGTGTAAAAAAAGCATGGCTCCCAGGGTGGACTCCAAGCAGTTTGTTCTCACTATTGATGTGCCACTCGTGTAGTGCAAAGTGTGTATGGTGAAACCTACGCGTTGCAATCTTTATGTTGCAGCGTCTGTGATGCATGCAGCGTATATGGTATAGTCCCCAGGCTGAATTTCAACAACAGGGCGACGTCCGCGCGTGACAGCCTCCCATGCTTGTGTAAACATCCCACTGGGCCACACGCAGTTGGCAAAACTCGTTCGGCCATGAGCCCTGCATGCGCACGGGCGCCTGGAACTCAACCGCGCAGAAAAGGCCGTCCTGCAGGACACGAAATGGCCGTCCCCCTCCTTATCATCCTCATCCTGGTCCCCCTCGTCGTTATCTTCGTTGTCCTCTCTGTGCTCGCACCCAAAGTTCATGCTCCTGATCCCATGCCTCTTCATCCTCCTGCCTCATTCCTCCTCCAATTGCCCCTCCTGTGCTTCCCTTTTCTGGTCCTCGCTCCTCCCTTTTAGTCGTTCTCCCCCTCCCCACGTTGCTGCTGTTTCCTCCCGCTTCGACATCAGTCGAAGGAGGAACAACAAACAAGACCATCATAATCTGCGTTTACTCAACGGCCCTGGGCGCTTGCTAAACATCCCTGCCCTGCTCGATTTCTCTTTTGGGTGTGTTTACTAAACGGCGTCACTTGCCAGGGTGCTTCATCCTCCTCGACCGTATCCCTCCACTCTCCACCATCTACCCCTGTGCGTGCAGCTACCTCTCCCCTAGCTGGGCGTTTCGCCTGAGACCTCCGCACCACATATGATCGTGAAGTTGGACACTTCCAACAGCAGGATGTAGGCCGGATCCTGCGCAAAATTCGGCTCTCGCCTGAGCGCCGCGCACACGTTTAAAACATGGACAACAGCTGCAAAGGCGAAGGTCGTTTTCTTTTCAGAATGGGGATGTCGCTTTGGCGCAGCGCGCACTCGTCTGAACAGTGTGCAACAGCTACAAGTGTGGAGGTCGGTTCCTTTTCAAAATGAGGCTCTCGTCTAGCGCCCCGCACACTCGTCTGAGCAGCTTGCAGCAGCTACGAGGATGGATGGTGGTTCATTGTCAAAAAGTGGATTTCGCTTCAGCGAGATGGACATGCGTTCAGCAGGGTGGTCCCCTTGCAAGACGAACGTTCGGCTTGAAACAGCTTGCCACAGCTACAAGGTTGGAGGACGGATCCTTTTCTCAAGGAGGTTCTCGCCGTGTCCCGGAGGACGGTTCTGTTCCAACAGTGGGACGTCACTTATTATTTCCACAATCATGAGACACGGAGCAATTACAGTGGTGGCCCATGCTAAGAAACACCCTGCTTGCCTCCAGGGTGTCCTGGATTTATTGGGTTTCTATGGTTTTGCTATGGATAGCGCGACTATCCCACCGAAAATCAAGGGACGTCCTGGGGTCTCAGGGTCAGGTTTCTCGTGTGGGGAGTTTTTTGTGGGCTGGCCTCCGCTATACACTGGTGGATGGCGGCTCCTCTTCACATTCTGACTCTCGCTTGCGACGTCCTCGCATGTGTACGTAACCGACCAGAGGTTTATCAAACTCGTGCAGCAGCTGCACGGCGGACAGGGGGCGGCTCCTGGTGAAGCCTGTGCTCTCGCTGCACAGGTTCTTGAACGTTCGACCCTACCAGACCGTAGTTGTTCTTCTCGAGTCGCGAAATGAAGCCACAGTGACGTTTCAGAATGTGGCTCTCGCCTGCATCGCAGGCCTTCCTCCGCCGCCTCGTCCTCCTCCCCCCGCTCCCCGTCCACGATGCTTACGCATTCGTGCATACACGATATGAGGCCACGACCCCCTGCGCCCTGCCCAGAAGCGGCACGGGCACGCCTGCGTGTCCGACTCCGGTGCCCTCGCTTCGCGTCGCTCCGCGCCCCTGCCCCCCTTCCTTCCTCTCCCTCGCGCTGCCCGCGGCCCCTGGCTCTCGCACGGCGCGCCCGTCCTCGTCAGCGTCAGGTTGTCACCCCTTGCGCGCTGCTCGGCCCCAGCGCGCCCCTTCTTGCCACACGAGGCCGACGACGGGGAAACCAGAGGAGGAGAAGGCACCCATACCGCTAACCCTGCCTCTTTTTCGCCTTTCTGGGCTTCCTGGGAGGCCCTCGCCGCCACCGCCGGATTCGCCTCGGAATTCTGGTCAGAACGCACCCTGGGAGAGGTCCGGTGCGTGGCCGTATTGGTACCTTTCGATTTCTTTACCTTTTCCTCCTCCTCCTTCTCCCCCACCGAGGCGTTGTTTCCTCGTCCTCATCTGGCTTCTTGCCGCTTCGCGTGTTGCACTCGTCGAAAAGCACGGGATGATGCGCCATGGGCTGGGACGTGCGGGAGGGGCGGGATGTCAGACAAGCCGCGAGCGCACCTAGCCGGTCCTCGTCCTCTCCCCCTTCTCCCATCCCCATCCCTGCTCCTTCCCCCCCCCGCCCTCCCCCTCCCCCTCCTCCCATGCCTCCCCCTCCTCTCCCTCCTTCCCACTCCCCCCCTTCTCCCGTCCCGACCCCTTCTCCTTCCCCCCCCGCGCCTCCCCTTCCCCCTCCTCCCATTCCTCCCCCTCCCCCTTCCTCTCCCTCCCTCCCACTCCGCCCCCCTCCCCCTCTCCACCACCTGGGCTGGCCGGAGCTCACGCCGCCGCCCCGCGAGCCGCTGAAGGCCCCATCGCCCTCACAGGGCGTTGCACGTTTCTTTCCCGCGCATTCCCGCACCTTCTGCCCTCCAGGGGGGGGGGAGTCCACTCCTTTCTGATTGACCCAAAAGGAGGTCCAGCGAAAGGGGGTGGTGCAGTAGATCTGGTGCAAAAGAGATTCGTGGGGTTGCAGCAGATCTGGGGCTTGCTGTACATTCTGGTGCGCAGACGTATTGCTGGGCTCTCGCGTGCACTACGTCACTTGCAATACAGTGAAATAGAGTTCTCTTGCACAATACAATGCGTTTGCAATGCAGTTGCCCCAAACCTCGTGCACCACCCCGTTGCAGCTGGACCCCCCTTTTTGGGTCACCCAGATCCCTGCCATCTCCTCTCCTCCCCAGGGGGTGCCTGCCGCGCCTGCCCTGGCTTGGCTGGGGCCGAGGCCACCTCACTGCCCGACACCCTGGCGATGCGGCCCCAAGGCCTTCGGGCACGACGGAGCTTCTTCGTGGAGCGGGCCCCCCCCCGCCATCCCGGTGGACCCACGCACCATCGGTGGTCCAACGAACGGTGGTCCGCACTCCACCTCCCCCGTACACCGTACCTCCAGACCCCCGACGTCATGAATTTCTCATGGCGCGGACCCCCAGCGGTCTGGACCCATCCCCCTGGGCCGGTTTTTAGTCCCGAGGCGTTTTTGGACGGTCCCGAGGGCCGGTGAGGGCCCCCCAGGGCCGAAACTAGCGAAAAACGCCTCGTCAATTTCTCATAACCCGAGGGGGTCTGGGCCGTACGCGTCAGTCGGGCCTGTCCCTCTGCAGGAGGATTAGATTCAAAGAGAGAGAAGAAATAGTCCGGGGGCGGTTCTTGGAGTATGTTCGATTATTTGGGGGGCATTGTTGGAGTATTTTCCATTCTTCGTCCAAAATCCGCCTGACCTAACTTTACCGCCGTGCCCCTGCCTCGGCCGCGCCGAGGTGGGCCAGAAGGCCTCGACCATGGCCGGGACGCTGCCCGAGCCCTGGGTGCAGGCGCTGACCCCGCTGCAGGCCCCGGGGGGGGGAAGGGGGGCGGCCCTGGGGAGGGGGGGGGGGTGGGCGAGGATCCAGGCCTGCTCTGGCGACCCGTCCTCCGCCTCCTCCTCCTCCTCCTCCTCCTCCTCCTCCTCCTCCTCCTCCTCCTCCTCCTCCTCGGGTCGCCTACGGCCCCAGGGGGAGACCGTGCAGGCCTGCCCTTGGTGGTCTCATCGTGTCCCTCACGATTGGCCAAAAATGGACCCCCTGACCCTTTGGGAGGGGACTTGAGTTCGGAGAGCCAACAACAATTAGGGAGAGAGGGGCGGTCTTTTTCTGCAGATGTACCAGGCCAAACCGCCAGACTTGTCGTCCCTGATGCGAAGAAGGGAACCTCAGTGAGGCCACGTCTTCATCGTGTGATTAGGGTTCGAGGCTCTCTTGTTATCAGTGGCCTCAGCCTCGGCCAGGTCGCGCTCTTCGCTGCTATTCCCAGTCCCCCTCGGGTCATGAACAAGTCACGACGGGAGGTGCTCTTTCGCTATGCTCGGCCCCCGGGGGGCCCTCACGGGGGACCGTCAGCAAGACACGACCCAGGAGGAACGCACAGGCCCCGGGGGGAGGGGTCGGGACCTCGGGGGACGGACGCTTTGTGGCCAAAGCCCTGGCGTCGGGGGTCCCCGTGCCTGTGGAGCTCCCGGCCCGGGCGGCCCCTCCGCCCGACGCGCGCCGTGCCCGGGACCTCGTCGGGGCCGTGTCCTCTGCGGCTCTCGCCCGGCACGGTGCGGCCGCAGGAGGCAGGCCGCGCCCCTGACGCTGCGCGGCCAGGTCGGCCCGGCAGCGTGCCGGGGAAGAGCAGCCTCCTGTGATCGGGGGCGGCAGAGAGGGGGATGACGACAAGGGGGGGGGTTGGATATCATGGCGTGGGCCATGATTTTTCCCCAGATTTCATGGCGCCTCCTGTTATTTCAGTACGACCCCGGCCCCCCCCCCCCCCGGGCCGCGCACATGCCGCCGGCCATGATTTGCACGCCCCCCCTCTCGGACGCCCCCCTCTTTGCTGCCCCCGATTTGACGGGGCTGGGGGCAACTGGGATCCCAGAGAACCCAGGGGGCCCCAACGGTCCGCCGAGCTCTCCACCTCTGGCGTGCCTGGACGGGGAGGAGGAGCGGGAGAGGGGGGAGGAGGAGGAGAGGAGGGCGCAGACTCCCAACAGGCTCGGCACGGCCCGTTCCGTTTCGGCTTCGAGTCGAAGCCAGTTGTTCGGCCTGGGCCAAGGGATCGACCAGTTCGGTTCGTTTCGGGTGGAACAGTCGACCGGTTCTCGCCGTTTCGGCCCGGTTCGGGAAGGGTCTGATACAGAGCGATTTTGCCGCTATTGCCCATACCTAGAACGAGTGACCTTCGGGCTGGCGGAGGGTCTCATTGTTCTTGAGGGATGTTCTTCTGTCCTAGGTCCGACTGTAAGTTGCCGATCCAGGCCTCCCTGGCTGGGTTTCCAGACTGCACGAGCTGGAACACGATCCTCTCCATCTCTGGCATCGCCGATACGTCCTCGATGCGTCGGCGATGCAGTGCCACTTTGGGGTCGACCTGCTCTGACCTGGGTCGGGTCGGACGCAAGGGGGGGAATGGGAAGCGGGGGGGTCGAAAATCGCTGCATGCAGCTGATTCGTGAATCCTCACTCTGCTATCCTGCCTTTCGTCCGTCCCGAGAGGGGTGGCAGGATGTATGTGTTGGTGGGTTTCTATTCGGCTCTAGTAGGCTATTGGGGTGTGTATGCTGAGAGTCCTGGAGAATCTGGAGGTTCAGGTAAGGTTTTGGAGGGCTCCTGGAATATCCTGGTGGATCTTGGAGATCCATTTGAGGTCCTTACTTGCTCTGAGGTTCTGGGAAGATGTGGGAGAGCTTTTGAAATATTTTGAGCTCGTGGAAATTATCTTGTCTTTTTTGGAGATTGCACAGAGGTCTTGGGGTCCTGTAAGGTCTTGAAGACGAGGACAAGGAAGAAGAGGAAGACGAGGAGGAGAAGGGAGACGGGGAAAAGAGGGGTAGAAGGGAAGGGGGAGGGAGGCGCCATCCCACGTACCAACGCTTCCGCCGACGCCTTCGTCTGCACCAGCACAGTGGCCACCACCGACGCCAGATCTGGCGGCTGCACCCTCGCTGGCACCAGCGCCAGCACCGACGTCAGCGCACCGTCGCCTGCTTCGACACTGTCACGGCCACAAGTACTGGCGCTAGCATCGAGTTCGCACACCAGTATAGCCCTCGAATATGTTGTTACAGTCATGGGCGATCGTACACGAGATGCTTGCTGCCACATCTTGATACCATGGATGGGACGCGATAAGTGATATACGAACCAGGCGACGGCAATGCAACGAAGATGGCCATTCCATGAAGCGCGACCGTTTCAAAAACACTCGGCCCGCGATACTACAATCTCAGACCGGTAGCTAGCACCGACGCGTGCATTGCATCACATTAGCTCCCCCGAATAAGTTGCGAAGTCCACATCCTACACGACCAGCGACAACAACCACATATGACAGCAAGGTGGAGCAAACGCGACGGACGGAGGGAAGGGGACAGATTAGCCAAAGGGGGGAGTAATAGGATAGCGATGCTGCTGTGCTTCTGCTGATGATGATGACAGTGTCCATGATGATGGCATGCCGACCAGCGACGGGCAGGAGCTCAACGATGGGGGCACATGCATCCAGGCAGCATGATGGTGAGGATGAGGTGGCGGAGGAGGAGTAGTAGCAGGAGTAAGACGAGCAGTAGGAGGACCGCTCCACTGATTGACCCAGAGGGAGCCCCTGCCGCGAAGCCATCGGCTGCGCGCGCGCCGTCGAGTCTGCGCGCTGAGCCGCCGCCCGCCCGGCAGAGTAGCGACCCCTTCCTCCTGCTCTGCGTGCGCCTTCGCGTTCTCGATGTCCTCGTCTTTCCTCTCTCATCCTCCCACTTCCGGGCGTCTTGGCGGCCTCCTTGGGGCCTTTGGGGGACTTCTTGGGGACTTCTCGGGGCCGAAGACTGACAGTACTCCCTTGGGGAGTGCCCCTCCAGGCCCCGTCTTGAAGCCGTTCTGGGGCCGTCTTTGGCTGTCTTGGGGGCCTCATGGGCCGTCTTGGTGCCTTATCTGGCCGTCTTGGAGCCGTCCTGGGAGCCTCGTGGGCCGTATCGGACCGACTTTGGGGCCCTCTGGGGCCGCCTTTGACGCTGCGGGAGAGCCGAAGAGGCGAATATGCTAAAACTATAAGTTGTTTTCCTCCGGAGATGGGACGATTTTTGCCTGTTGGGACCTCTTTGGAAGACACCTTGGAGGCCTCTCGAAGCATCTCCGGGGCATCTTGGGCCATTGCGCAGCAAGCCTTGGCGGCTTGGAATCATCTTTCAGCGTCTCGAAGCTCTCTTGGACCGTCTTGGGGACGTCTTGGCCCGTTTGGGAGCCTTCGGTGGCCCGTGGCGCGCTCGTGCCGGGGTCGTCCGCGGCCATGGGGGGGGGGTCAGATTCCCTTTTTGGCGTTCCTGGGAGGGGATTCTGGGGGGGGGCAATCTCACACGCCTGGAGACCCACAAGGTTCGGCGGATTTTGAAACGAGTGCGCGCGCACAGCATTATCTGACAAGGATGACGGGGGGGGCGGTAAGGGGTTTGGCTGGGATGGTACGAGTTCACATTAAGGCTAAACGATTGGGCTGAATCGTATCTAGATAATTGCTATCCCTGGGCAGACAAACCCTGACCGCGGGCGGCGACGAGGCGGCGACGAAGCGGCGACGGCGGCCACATAGCCTCCAGTTCGGCAGACAGGCCCCGTTCCGTAGTAAGAAGTGGGAGCCGCTAAGTGCAAGCATTGTTTCTGGGAATCTTGATGTACATAGTTGTAT